AGTATAATTGTTTGGTTTATTCGAATACATAAGTAACTGTTTGGTGTATTTATAGAGCAATTTGTAATTAATTGGTGTAATTAATTAGTGTAATTATGTTGTTGTAACGTTGATATAAAAAGAGAGAGAGGGAAGGGGAGAGAGAAAGGGAGGGAGACGATGAGAGAAAAAAATGGGGAGAGAGAAAAAATAGGGGAGAGATATGATAAAATCAAATCAAATTTTTATATATTTAAAAATAAAATAAATCAATGTGAGATATGTAGAAAAAATAAGGGAGTGATAAGAAGCGTAACGGGAGGGAAAAAGAGAGAGATGAGGATAAAATAGGGAAGATAGATGAAGAGAATAAAAATTATGCATAATTTAAGGAATGGTAAGTAAGTAAAAAAATTCAAATGTCATTTGAATTTTGTTCCTAATCATAAGATGTTTTATTAAAATTGAAATTAATAGAATAAAATATTTATTCATACACTTTTTTTCAAATAAGTCTAAAAAATATATCCACAAAAAAAAACACTTTTTAAATTTGCGTGACGACTACCGAACATCACGACTTTAAAGTGGGCCAATCTGAACTCGGATGGGCTCGTATTACCCAAAAGTTAGCCTGTTGACCGGATGGCTCCGGCCTATACAAAAAATGCCTTATCGGCCCAGATTCACATGTTGGGCTAGTTCAGATTCAACTGTAATTACCAGTTTTGAACTACAAGCTGGTGTTCAAAAAAAAAAAAAAAAACTACAAGCTGATGCGTGCAACTTCTGATCGGATGGATTTCAAGGTGCGACTTCGTTGGATTCGAATGTCATTCAATGAAATACGGTCTTATATTAGAATACCCAGATCTGACATATTTATGCTACATAAATTCATCTTACTAAGTTTAGACTTATGAAATCTATGATATGAATAGTCCAACAACGTAGATTTAATTTGGGATAAGTCATTAATTTAAATGCTCTAAGTTCGATTCTAAATGATAACTCTTAAGTTGAACTGATAGCAATGGTTAGAGTCTGATTATAGGCATTAAAAGTTTTTATTCTATAGGGAAAAAGGTCAATGGAACTCTACATCAGAGAGGTTTCATATTATATGTGTTTTTGACGTATATCTGAATGTGGACATACTAAAGTCCTAACGGACTCAACGTTTCTAAATAATAAGACTTTATATACTTAAATCGATATCGACGTGAGATTTCAAATAGTGATTGTTCAAATGACTGTAATGTAAGTGTAAAAATATCTCTAGATTATTTTCTATACCTTAGAGATCAAACACTTAAACTATTCTTCTGTAGTAGCAATAAATTGAAAATGAAAAGTGGAATAGAATTGGAAAAAATCAGTAATGAACATAATTGGATAGAATGATTTTATTAAAATATTGTGCTGAAAAAAGACTAAAAATAATCACCAAATTGATGATAAAATTACAATGAACCAATGAAAAAGAATATGAAATCAAACAGTGTACAAACAAGTTTGGTACATTGGCGTGTCTCTCCTTATTTATAGGTGGTGATTTGTAATTGTTAGAACCAATTTTTTTGGCCACTTTACCTTGTTCTCAGGGCCTCTCTTTACGATGGCTATCATCATGTCTTCAATCGTTTATAACTAATGGTATCACGACGTCGCGTTCTAATACGTCTCCATACTTTTTGAAATCTTTTTTCATAATTGTTTAATTGTTCAAGACCTCTGCCAACTCAATCCTACATGTTGAATTGTGCAACGTCTCTTTCTCAAAATTTTCGTATTTTAAAACAATATGCGTAAAAAGAAAGAGTATGCATGCATAAAAAGAAAGAATAATTTTATTTATCAATCTAATTACTAATAAATTAGATATCAATAACAGTACTATATATATACTAGTTATTGTCTGTGATTGAAAGTACAGAGTAATAAAAAAAATAGTATACAATAAATATATTTGTATTCATATCTAAAATCAAATTACAAATATAGAAAAAAGATAAAAGAATTTAAGCACGATTTGTAATGGGGATAAGAAGTGGTGAGCGGTAGTAACGGTGGTAGGAGACTGTGATGATTGTGGTGGATAACAATAACCATAGTGGTGGCGGGGGTGATGACAACGACGACGGTGGTGGTGGTGGCGACAGTGGTGAGTGTAGTGGTGAGGCGGTTTCAAAAATTATTTTTTTTTAAGTATTTATGAAAAATAATTTTTAAAAATACTTTTAAAAAGTCACTTCAAACACCCTTAACAACTTATTTTTTCTATTAAATTTATAGTGTTAATATTAGCTATTAGATTAACTTTAAAGTAAAATTTAAAACGCTCTAAACTAAGAATAGCAAAAGTCATTTTGTTTATCTTTTGATATTTGAATAAAGATAAAGTAGCTTACAATTCAAATCTTAAAAGATAAACAAAATGACTTTTACTATTTGCAGTTGATATCGTTTTAAATTTTACTTTAAAGTTAATCTAACAGTTAATATTAACACCCTAAATTTAATAAGAAAAATAAACCCCTAAGGGGTGTGTTTAGAGTGATTTTTTAAAATTACTTTTAGAAATTATTTTTCATAAATACTTAAAAAAAAAATAGTGTTTGAAACCGCCTCACTACTATCCCCACCCTCGCTGCCGCCACCACCACCACCACCACCGTCGTCACCACCATTACTACCATCGTCGCCACCACCACCACCACTACTACCATCGCTGCCACCACTATCATCGCCGTTGTCACCGCCACCATAGTCATTACCACCCACCACAACCATTACTATCTCTTACTACCACCATTGTCGCTGACCACCTCTTACCTCATTATAACCGATGTTTAAATTCATTTATCATTTATCTATATTTGTGATTTAATTTTAAATATGAATATAAATATATTTTTTATTTTTTATTATTTCGTAACTTCAAACATATATAATAACTAGTATATATATATATATATAATACAATCTGTCCCGGGCATTCAAGCCAAACGACCCGAAAAAAAAAAAAAAAAACATTCAAACCAATACCCAAGAGAAAGGACTATGAGTCAGCTACCAGCCTCGAGACTTGATAGCGATCATATCCAGCTTTTGCTCTCTGTCCCAATATTCCCTTGTTTTTCTTACTTGTGGGGCCTCTTTGCAATAAGTAACCCTATGATTAATACAAAAAAAAAAAAGAAAAGAAAAAGCACCTTTGCCTCAAGTTACTCCCTTTTGAAGTCAATTATAAATTTTTAGAAATCAATCTTAAACACCTTAAAAATTTATAAATTGATCTCTAAAATTGAATTTTGCAATGCTATAATCCAAATATGATGTAGAAATAATTGCTACTTAGTGGGTTTTTTTTATTAGACACTATTACAGTATGAAAAAAGATACGATGAGATTTAAATTTGTAACATGAAACTTTAATATTAAAGAGTAATGTTAGTAGGACACAATTTAAGATAATTTAAAATTTTAACGATTATATTCATTAGAGTCATAATATTAAATTATCATCGAGTCCCAATACTACTCTCTTCATTCTTAAATATTTATCGTTTAAGGTTTTTGCATAGGAATTAAGGAAGTTATTAAATAACTCTAATATGAGTAAAAAAAAATTGCACAAGACTAAAATACCCTTATTCAATACGTATTGGGAAGAAAAAGAATATGAAAAACACTTAACCTCTACCTAATCTAATGCATTAAAAAGTTAAGGGTAAATTTGAAAAAAAAAATTAATTATACTTTAGTTTCATTAAACGACAGATATTATAGAACAAAAAAATTTATATAAAACGACATATATTTAGGAACGAAATGAGTATTAATTTAATGATTATAATAAATTAAGCCTCAAAATTATATCACTAAATTATATCTCACTGACATTAATAAATAATAAAATAATGGTCTTTTAAGTCAATTGCTAACCTCGTCAATATTAATAGCCCAAAAAATTATTTATCATAATTTCCATGCAAAAAGAAAGGAGGTTTGCTTCCCTTAAATGTGGCCTTTTTCTTGAGAACGGAAGGTAGGCGGGACAAGTCACATGTAGAAAGGCCTAGTGCCATAAATGATAATGTATGCTTTCGCCAATCATTAACTCAATTTAGATGAGCTCGTCTATATAGCAAAACAAAAGTAATCGAAAAGAATTACTAATAAATCATGTAGATCAAGCAAATTGATTAAAAAAATAAAAATAATCAAACTTAAAACTTTTTCTAATAAGAGTAGCAGATCATGGTATCAAAAAAAAATTAAAAAAATTGGTATTCTACTGTTATTTATAATTTTTGTGAATATTTTTATTATTATTATAATTATTATTTTTATGATTAATTATAAAAATATTAAAATTAATTACAAATTCTATAGAAATGATAAAATCAATTATTAAAATAGTGATAAAAATATAAAAAGAAAAATCAACGATTTGTTTTGGTCCAAGTTTGAAAGAGTGGGGCTTGTCTTTTCTTGTTATGAACCACGTGGGAACATGTACTCAACCTCTATGACTCTGATATGAAGGCGCATAATCATGACTTGCATTAAAAGTAAGCTGTTAGTTAATCGTGTTAAACGCGCCTTGAAGGGGCAAGTGAAGAAATAATCATCTTTGACAACTGTCATGATGAGAATTAAGTATACGTGTAACTTCAGCCCACCCTTTAAAGAACACCACAATATCCGGACTCGTCGTCTCCGGCTCCTTCATTCCATGAGGTCCTCATCTATGCAATTCTCTAACTTGGTTCAAACTTTAGGGTACATGACATGCTCCCAATAGGCACAAGGGGAGCACAAACAATGGGTGTAGCCGAGGAGCAGAGGATCTGCTCCTGTCTGACTTCAATAGGACGCCCGTGCGCTTTTCGTCACGGATTAACCAATGAACCAACGTTACCAAGAAAGTTGGGACCCACCACCGAAAAACATTAGAAAAGAACCACAAGGCAAATGCAAAGGCAAAAGCTCAATAAATAAACCAATAGAAAAAGGAAAGAAAGAAAAGAGAATATGCTTCGCTCTTCTCTGCACATATCCTTTTAACACGCCAATTAGATGATAGATTTTATTCTTAGCATCACTGTTCTCACATATTTATCTATTCAATTCTTCATTCTTAGACGATTTCAAACCTTTTAGCTTCTTCTCTCTTCTCATCTCTCTTCAACATCGCATTACAGGTGGAAGATTATGGAGCTCGTTCAAGAGCTGTTCATGACCGCCTTTGTGGCGATCATCTTTTCTTTTGTTGTCGCGAAACTCGTCTCGATTGCGATGGCAGGTGATGTTGTTGAGCGCGATTTGCCGTTGAAGTCAAGTGAATTCGTTGTTGATAGTGAAATAGTTGCAGAGGAGGTGAAGTTGACCAGTGGATTAAGAGTTGGCGGTACGAAAAGCAAAGAGAGAGTGCAGTTTGTTGAAGGAATTGTTACTCAAATTGATGAATTCAAAAGCAAAATATCGGCTGAAAATGTGGAAGTAAAGTCCCACGGTAGGGAATTTGGTGAGATATGTTGTGAATCGGAGGAGGTATGTGATACTAGTGCTGCTGTTAGAATTGAAGGTAACGAGGAGGAGGATTCTGGAGAAGTTTCGCAAGGGATTGGATTTTCGGAGAAGCCATTTGAGGGACGGTCTGATGTGGAGGGTTTTGGAGTGGACATTGTCGGTGGACTTGAGAGTAGAGCTAAGGAAGAAAATATTAGAAGTGGATTGGATGAATTGGCTCTTGAAGAAAAGAGCGAGTGTACTATTGAGGCTGCGGCTGATCAATTCGATTATAGTGTTAAGGAAGAAATTATATTGGCCACTGGTTCTGATAATTTGATTGTTGAAGAGAAAAACATTGAGTGTGCAAAGCGGGACAATGAGATAAATGTGGAATCGGGGAGTGATGTTGTTGTTGTTGATCAAAGTGAAAAGGCTCAAATCGTGGAGGCTGGAGAGAATCAAAGGAGTGGAGTTGAAGAGAGGGAGGGGTTGGGGATTGAAGAGGATGATGATTGGGAGGGGATTGAAAGGAGTGAGTTGGAGCAGTTTTTTGCCGCTGCTGCAAAATATGTTAGTAACAATGATGATTGGTTAGCGAATCTGCGGAGTGATGTGCAAATGCAGTTGTATGGACTTCACAAGGTTGCAATGGAAGGGCCTTGTCATGAGCCTCAACCCATGGCGCTGAAAGTCTCTGCCCGCGTCAAATGGTATTAAACTTTCCTGTGCACTTCTCTGTTTTTTGATGCATTGGTTTTTTTCTATACATGCATGTTTCGTAGTCTATACCACCAAGAGTGCACAAATAAAATGCAGAAGGCGGGTAACTAAAAGAGAAAAACTACAGATGGATAAAGTTTATGTGATATAATGCAGGAAATGGATTTTGCTGTGCTAAAAAACCAATAAAGTATGGTAGACAACACATTAAGCTAAATTTAATGCTAATTGTCTGTACAAGGATTTGGAAGCACATTTGCAAAAGCATGGTATACAAATACAAGCAATGAAATAACTGAATATCAAAATTGTGAAGGGAAACTAGTAACATTAATATCCTACTGCGAAAGAATACTGGCAAGTCAAGTGAAAATGTGGATGCATGGGTTGTTTGCTTTTCATTGTGTTTACTTGTAATGAGGTCCACCAGAACAGGGTTATTTTCATAATGCCCTTGCATTCTTCATTTGCCAGATTGTGGCGATGCTTGTGGCCTTCAAATTTTCTATCATCATGCTGGCTATTATAATTTCTCCACCTCCCCTTGGAGTCTAGTTTTTTAGTCCTGCTAAATCACCAATTCAGAAAACTATGCATTGATGTAATATTATGCGGATGTTTCGTGGTAAAATTAGTGGGCACTATGATTAATTATACACGATATTCACAACAAAAATTTGAGGGACTTCGACCATTGAACTTAATGAAAAGAGCACCTAAGGTATACCCTTGAGCAAATATCAGGGTCTAGTTTGATTGCTAGTTATATAACAGGGTTGACAGATGCTATGTGTGAGTGATGGAGAGCACTGCTTACGTTGTGCAAGGAATGCGTGGCAAGGGCTGGGGAACATGAGTCCAGAAGTGGCTATGGAGAAGTATATCAGCATTCTTTCAGATACAGTTCCTGGATGGATAAAAGCCGATCCTGGTAAACCTTACTCTTCAGAATCTGGCATGCCTAGTGGTCCAGATCCCAACAGAAGTGCATTTTTAGACATACAGCCAGAAACTAATGAAATGTAGGCCATGATTTATTTCTTTCATTTTATTTCTTTTATCTTTCCCTTTTCCTTTTCCTTTGGTATCTACATTTTTCTTTGCTTTCTTGCTACTACTTTCCCTACAGAGAAGTGGAAGTGAAGGTTGGTATTGATGGAGGTGAACTGACTGGGGGCTCAAACTCCGCAAACAAGGTATGATTGCAGATCTGTTTCTTCTTTCCTTGGCTCTTGAGTTTAGGTTCCTTGTTTGTCTTTAGGCATAGATTACGAAAACAATTTTGGTAAAATATCATCAGCTTATTTCCCAGCATGAAACAAAACAAATCCATATTCATGAATCATGCTCTGTGCTGCCCAGTACCTGGACTCAACTCCACACTTATTGGGTATTATGGGTGTTTATTCCACTCACTTTTTGAAGTAGTTTATTTTGCCAAATTCAGTCAAGATCGAAAGGTCGAGTTAACATCATCATTTTGCATGAATGGGAATGAGATACATCCTTCCCATTCATGAGAGCTGGTTTTCTTGGAGAGACTTTTATGCCCAAAATTTTCGATTATGGTGGAGCATTCAACAGATAGGGTGAGCTAATACAATGAATGAATAATAGTCTGGCGGTTTATTTGAGAAGTAGATGATGTATTCCCTATTCCGTGTTCTTATTGTGACAATATTCTTAAAACAAGACATAAAACTTTGACCCAAGAGTCAGTTCAACTTGCAATTCTTTTTGGTGGTTTGGTTGGAAACTGACTGGACAAAATATTGTTCAATGAACATCTAGGTCACCACATCAATTACGAATGTTGTCCCCACTGCATCATGACTTAATCCAATAAGTCTGAATTTTCATATGTCCCAGTGTCATGCTTGTTATTAAGTCAATGATGGAAGTGATGGCACTAGGAAATATTTCATCTACAGAAATATTCCAACTGGGGTACCTACTCTCAATTTCAGTTGGATGGTCGCGGGTTACATTGCTTACTTGCATTCTGGGTTGATCTATACACTTTATCTATTGGTCTCACTTTTGGCTAATGCTTTGCTACAATAGGAGTGATACTATCCTAAGTGGTGGATGGTTGGTGCTGGGGGACTAGTTTGATGTTCTAAAGGTTCGAGCACCCTCATCTTAAAAAAAGGCTTGATACTAATTACCAATTTTTCATCTGCATAATTTTCAATTAAAAGTTCACCTCCCAGAAGGGTACCTGTGCAAACTGTTGAGTGAATTGTAGTAGGGTTAATGTTATGACTGCTAAACGTATTTGTATTTTCGGTAGAAGTATGTGTGAGTTATAAAGTAGAAAAAAAAAACTATGCAAGTGCTACTTAGGGCTAGTATGTACTAAATATTGGACTTTGTCACCTGAAAATTATAAGGGTTTCCACTATTTTAATCACCCACGTTCTTCTGGTTTGTCTTGGTATACCATGTCTAGATGTTTAATCAAACCAGTTGTATGAACATTACATAACTTGGGTTGATATTGTATTTCAGGATGAAGAATGATATATGATTTCTTCCCCAACCACTACTGCCATTCTTCTGTGTTAGCCCAACTTGAGACAAGGCTAATTCCTGCTGCCAAGTGTAGGAGTGTGCTTCAAAAAATGAAGGTCTTGTGCTGTTAAACTATCATTTATTTGTCCATAAGGGTACTTGATATCTCATTTTATGACTATGCTGTGCACATATGTATACATGAAGTATTTGTATGCCTTGATGATGATGGTATTGCAGTAAGGTAAATAATGTTGCCCTTGCATATTGGTTTTCTGCTTCTATCATGTATTTCTAGGAAGGAATGTCTTAAGATATCCACAGAGTAGATAAATAGGTTGTCATGCATACTAGGATTTTATTAAAAAGTGCGAAAACATGGATGAGATAACAGTTCTTGCTATTACTTGGAAAGGTTGGACCTAATAACCGTTATCAATGGAAATAAAACATCAATAATTGGAGAAACATCCTTATTCTATACCTTAGTAATACTCAGCACCAATGCAGTAGTAGAAACTAGTTATATTAGATAATCACCAGTTCTTTCCTGGAGCAACTTGGGATCTTCCTCCATAGCCCCCACCAGAACCATATCCCTCACCAGAGCCAGATCCAGAGCCCCCATAATTACCGTATCCCCCACCACCCCCACCACCTGACCCTCCACCGCCCCCACCAAAACCACCGCTGCCACTACCATACCCTGAGCCTGAGCCTTTTCCTTCACCACCTCCTCCACCACCTGATCCATAACCACCACCGCCACTCCCTCCACCACCACCACTCCCTCCTCCACCACCTGACCCATAACCACCACCAAGCCCACCACCATTACCTCCGCCTGAACCATACCCACCACCTTGTCCCGAGCCCCCACCCCCTCTGAAGCCACCATAAGCACCACCTTGTCCCAATCCCCCACCCCCTCCTGAGCCACCACCACCACCGCCACCTCCACCTATACCACTGCCACCACTTCCAAATCCACCACCATTACCACCACCAGAACCAAATCCACTCCCACCACCTCCCACTCCACCTCCGGAACCACTGCCACCACCAATACCTCCCCCAAAACCACCAGCTGTTAACCCTCCATAGGCAGCCTCTTCACCGTACTTATTTTGGTACCCACTGTCCGTATCAGAACTCTCGTAACTTAGAAACCTCCCTTCTCTGGTAGCTTCAACAGCTACATAACCATAGAATCCTAAACACACCAATGCCAAGAAAATGAGATTCCAGGAAACGGTGTTATGTTTTCCCATGATCCTACCCTCAGTGTGCTACCGTTGCACCCTTCAAAGAACCAGAACGCTTCTTTATAGCGAACTCCGAAAGGAAATAAACTAATAAACAAATACAGAGAATGTAAAAGAAACCAAAGCAGGCAAATTGAAGGTTAGTGCTCACCACCTTATTTCTTGCTGTCCTCTGCCCCCATCACTATGACCTATAATGGAAAGGCTAAAAAATCTCAGTTCTAGAGGAAAAAGGTCAGCGCCTTAATGGAGCAGGGCTAAGTGGGCACGGAGATACTTTTGGATGGTGGTGGTGGTCCTCTAGATATAGCGTAATGGCTCATGGAGGCTGTGGGAACAGATTGTGTGGTGGGTGGTGCAGAGAGTTTGCATGATGAGATGATGTGTGTGAGCTGGTTCTGGTAATGAGGACAGTAAGCATGAAACGAGGGGTGTGAAGTTCGTGTGCTATGTGAGCAACTCATTGATCACTGAGAGCTTCTTGCTGGAGTGAAATTTGATCTCAGTTTGCTTTAGAGAATATAGCAGAAAACGATGAGCAGTAAGCAGGAGCAGAAAACAATTGTAGATTGGAGCCTGGAAATACTTTTTCACAAACAGATTCTATATCTTACTAGCATTAGTACATATATAACTTGCAAATAGATACTATACATCAAAATAGCTTACGAAGCATTAGTCCATATAGCTTGCCATCAAAACCCTTTGACATTTTTGTTTTGTAAGGCCCTTCCAATCCTCTAAGTATGGCTGATTTTAACANCATATATAACTTGCAAATAGATACTATACATCAAAATAGCTTACGAAGCATTAGTCCATATAGCTTGCCATCAAAACCCTTTGACATTTTTGTTTTGTAAGGCCCTTCCAATCCTCTAAGTATGGCTGATTTTAACAGTTGTAAAGCTAGTATCTAAAGAACAAGGCTTCCCGCTTGGTTTGAGAGAAGTAAGTGGGCATCGTTACCTTATTTTAGGAATATACATTCCCAGACTCGGACCCATAATATGTGGCAGTTGATCTTAACAACTATGGCATTGATAAATTTTGATTCTCTCTGTTTTCGGTAACCATCCTATAATGTTACCATTATTAGCACAGCAAAGATCCGTTAAAAAAACACAAATGATAGTTCAAGTGGTAATGGCGTGGATGACTTATCTTTAATTAGATCGGAGAGAAGATTAGTCGAGGTGTACGTAAAATAATCCAAACATCCTTACCCGTTGAAAAAAAAAAGATTAGTTAAATGACATTGAAAGTTGGACATAATTTTTGGGTAAACCCCCACTACACTCTCCCCCCCCTGTTTTGTGATCTGCAGAGGGACTTGAGTGCTGGTTTATGTTACTTAAGAGCAAGGCCCAAAAGTTTGGTATTTGAATAGAGTGTTTCGTTACTAAACACAACCTTCAACTAGGGTCCAGTATCATTTAACCGCCCTAGTTTTCCAGGCCAACCCGCTGGTCCAGGTTGGGTTTAATAACACTGCAAGTAACCATACTTAAGGGTGAAAAAAATAAGCCAGAAAATCTTCTCGGGGTGGACACTTAATTTTCTTCTTCTAATCGATATTAAGATGATATGCTCATTATCTATTTATTTGATACTTAAAAAATTCACTAAACATAAAAAGATGAAAAACTGTTATATAAAGTTTCTACAAGCAAAAACTGAGTTTTGTAGCATTGTCATTGACTATCTATACCTCAAATAAAGGCAAGTCCTGTCTCCTCAGAGAATAGAATAGTTGCCATAGCGTCGCGCACAATAATTGAGAGTCACACACTCGCTAATCACTTTTCTCTCGATCGTTCATTTTGGTCTAATTATAATAATTTTGTCAATTAAACATATTCATATTTGATTTTTGTTTAAACCCAAATGATTTTATAATTTTAAGTTGTGACTCTTAATTCTTTTATAGACTTATAAAATGACCAATTATTTTATTATATAATGATCCTAATTTTTATAAAATATCAAAATAACTTCATAGTTTCTGCTGAAAATTATAAATAACCTCAATATGTCCAAAGAACATCTCCGTTACGTATTTAAAACATGTCCAAAAGTTTATAGTCATTTAGATATTTATTTCAATTAATATGACAAAAAAATAATATAGGTTGGACAAATTCAAATATACTAAAAAAATTTATAAAAATATATACAGTTAATTTTTGAAAAAAAAAAAAAAATTCACCCCCCCTCCAAAAAAAAAATTTAGATTTTTGGGGTGTCGGAATCACCCTTAAGAACGTGTCTTATAAACTCATAAATCATGCGCATTAGTGAAATATAATGTTTATGTGACTAAAAAACTCGAACTCAGAAAATCTGAAGCATGCATTGCAATCAATCAACATGTATACATTTTGCACCATTCATGGAGAAGACAAATTGACAAAGTAGTTTCAATGGAAAGCAACCCTTTGAATAAACTGATGCCTCTCTATCTTACCAAGGATCAGAATTCAATGGATGGAAATGAACTTTGTGTTTGGATACATCAATGAATAGAGAGATGGCTGACTAGATGAACCATATACAATTCATATTATAAAACAATGTATTTCAGTAAAAGTGGGGGTGGTGGCATCAAATAGGGGGGGAGGCTTTTACGCGTTTCTTTGAGCTTGCTATGTATGTAGAGAGGTCCACGTGCTTTTTTTTATTTTAACGGTTAGAAATATTTAAGTCAATTTATGTATTTTTTAATTAATTTTTTTTTTCAGTCGGATCAAATACAAGTCGTCTATATCAAAATTTAAAATTTATGAAGAATAAGTTTGTTATAATTTAATTTAAAAAATTATTAAAATTTAAAATTTAAATATATAATTCGTATTTATTATCGTACGTTGGGTTATGGTTGGTATGGGGTCCAAATGCTTTCAATAATTGAGAGTGGCCTCTAATTTCCAACGACAGACATTATGGAGTTGTTGGTAGTCAATTCTAATCCGAAAAGCTGGAGAGAATTACTTATACTAATATTGAAGGACAGCGGCCATCAAATCAGTAACAACTTCTAATGACTTTCTTCCAATAATTTAAAACCATGTTCCTTCCTTCTATCATGTCACCAAGATTCGAATAAAATTCATTTTTCTTTTTCAATCACGTAGATTCATCCCCACCCCACTATGAATTTTTTTGAATTTATGACATTGAATCAATTCAAACCCAATTCGAGCCCAATTTAAAATATTTTTTATTAAGAACAAGAATTCTTTTATACGAACTTTGGGGCAAAAATTCTCTATCTAATTAAAATTTTGAGTATTATTTAGGTTATAATTTTGAACCCGAATTCAATCATAATTGAACTTGAATTTCAACTTAACTTGTATAACTCAATAGTCAAAGTGCAAATTGAACACTTGAAAGAACTATTATATTTTCTATATTGTATATTATTTTTTATATTTTTTGTAGAGAAACCAATTTTGTCCAAAAAAAATATAAAAATCAATGCTAAAAAATAAGAAAATCTTCGCATCCGTCTTATCAAAGGAAAAAGATAATTTTTATGGAAAAGAGAAAGGAATTGAGAGCAAACCATCTGCAAGTAATGGAGGATGGAATAGAGTAAAGGTAAAAGAGAAAGTATGAATACTTGGTATAGAAAAAAAAAAGTAATTATCTCTTTTTAACAAATTAGATGTAACGTGAATTTGACATATTTAATTTTTGTTAATTTTTATTGTTTAAAAATAATTATTAGAATTAATTATAAAATATTCAAACTTAAAAAAAATCATTTGTTTAAATTAAAACTGAAACAGTCGGTTGTAAATTATTCAAAGCTGTAAAGAGTATTTTGTAATTAACCNTTCCTTCCTTCTATCATGTCACCAAGATTCGAATAAAATTCATTTTTCTTTTTCAATCACGTAGATTCATCCCCACCCCACTATGAATTTTTTTGAATTTATGACATTGAATCAATTCAAACCCAATTCGAGCCCAATTTAAAATATTTTTTATTAAGAACAAGAATTCTTTTATACGAACTTTGGGGCAAAAATTCTCTATCTAATTAAAATTTTGAGTATTATTTAGGTTATAATTTTGAACCCGAATTCAATCATAATTGAACTTGAATTTCAACTTAACTTGTATAACTCAATAGTCAAAGTGCAAATTGAACACTTGAAAGAACTATTATATTTTCTATATTGTATATTATTTTTTATATTTTTTGTAGAGAAACCAATTTTGTCCAAAAAAAATATAAAAATCAATGCTAAAAAATAAGAAAATCTTCGCATCCGTCTTATCAAAGGAAAAAGATAATTTTTATGGAAAAGAGAAAGGAATTGAGAGCAAACCATCTGCAAGTAATGGAGGATGGAATAGAGTAAAGGTAAAAGAGAAAGTATGAATACTTGGTATAGAAAAAAAAAAGTAATTATCTCTTTTTAACAAATTAGATGTAACGTGAATTTGACATATTTAATTTTTGTTAATTTTTATTGTTTAAAAATAATTATTAGAATTAATTATAAAATATTCAAACTTAAAAAAAATCATTTGTTTAAATTAAAACTGAAACAGTCGGTTGTAAATTATTCAAAGCTGTAAAGAGTATTTTGTAATTAACCATTAATAATAAATCATAGATCTGTGGCAAAAAATCAAATTTCGAATCTTTTCATGTGAGTGATTTATATTGACTGGCCGATTGAACTTAAAAGATTCATCAGGGCTTACAAACCTCACAAATCTTTTATGAGATTAGACAAGATAGTAACATGCCATTTGAATTGATTCGAATGATGGGATACCGGTCTAGTGGTATCGGTCTTACTCTTCACTTTGAGGTTAGGAATTTGAATCTTAGAGTCTTCATTGTGACTTGATAATTAACCGCTATACTAACCTAATTAAATTTGGTCCCGAGAGGTGTTTCAGGTGCGATCAGGGCCTTATGATCCTACCGGTGAAGGTCTATTGGAGTGGTCACCGGGCACTTTTTCTTGTCTCCACTCTTTTTT